TGTATCCCTTCTTGTGGTGGAAGAAGGAGAAAACCCTTCCTTGTGAAAACTCCTGTGTCTCCCTCCTCAGCTCTTCCCAGTAGCTGCCTTTCTTTGTAATCCTGACATGGCACCCTGACTTCCCCTGGGCACCAAAGCACCTCTGTCTCTCTGTAAAACAGTGATGAAAAAGCAAAGGCTTTTGTCTTTGTCTCTCACGTGAATTTGTTGAATATATGTACTATTTTTTTTAATGTTTGTGAATTAAAGACACTTGTTCTTCAGGTGATCTTCATTTCCTGCACTTGTGTTTATTGGTGCTTTCAGGTGAGTTTGGAGTAGATCAAAATGTTCATAGCTTGTATGGAAAAGGGGAAAATTACCCTAAAAGATAATTAATTGTCTGGGGTCCCACAAGTGTGAGCTGACCATTGTGGCAGGTTTCCATTGCCCTGACACCATGCCAGGGACATGTGTCCGGTCAGCTGAGGCGGAAGGGCTTTACCAGACCAGGTTCAGCAACTGGATAAATAACGTTTGTGCAGCTAAAATAAAACCCACAATATAGCTCTCCTTGGTGCCTCTGCCACAGCCCAGCTTTCCCGATGGATGTTAAGAAGCCTTTGTAGTGTTTATGAGAAACATTGGCTTCCCTAATCATTCATTGATCTGTTGTTCTGGGCAGAATGATGAAGTTTTCACTGTTATTTTGCTCCACTTCACTCAGATTCGCTTGATTCGAACCGAGGGATGATTTAAGATGGAACAATCTTGCCATTTACTCCCAGCTGACAGGATAATTCTGGCTTTGCTGTTGGGAGCTTAAAGTGCTTCATGCTCAGCTAATATTAGTTGTAATTGAGGGAATGGGCTGTCTGGGAGTTCATTCGTACAGTTCATCACCTGAAAAAGAACCTCCGAAAAAAACCCGTTTTGGTTTTGGTGTCATTTTGGGGCCCAGTTTCTCCCGCGCTCCCCATAGGACTGCCCGGCACAGCTGAGGGGAGCAGCAGCCGCCACCTTGGGGCAGCACCTCGACTGGGTCTGTTCTCATCTCAGGGTAATTGTTTTTAGGTTTAAGAAAAAAAAAATGGCTATATTTGGGCTAGCAGAGGCTGTTAGGAGACTGTTTTATGGGCTGCCATGCCAAGGCTCTGCTTTCTAGGGTGCAGAACAGTGCTGGACCCAGAGACAGCAAGCCGTGGAGCACAAGTACTCGTCTCCTGTCCAAAAAGAGAGACAAAGAGCTTTTCTCTGTTAAATATATCAGACTTGAACCCTTTGGTTTGGTGGAGTTTTAAAGCAGCTCGTGAGGCTTTAGAGTAATAAGTTTTTTCCCCCTACACTCCTTTTGTTTCCTGCTGAAAGCTTGTCCTTTCTTATCCAGGGACTAATGCTCAGGCTCAGATGGAGGAGCAATCACCTGTGGCTCTTGAATATTCAGAGGTGTCTCCTCACCTGCTTTCAAACTCTCAGGTGTCTGCTTGGAGGGCTCCATGGACAGTGTCCCTTTTCCCTTTGGCACAGGGAGCCTGTGAGGTGCTGCCTTTTCCTCCTTCAAATCTGTGTGTTCATTCCCACTGCCATACCCAGCTTTGGGGAGCCCAAATACATCTACTAAAGCAGCAGCAGTGCTGTGGGAGTCTGAGCCAGCTGCTGCCTCACTTGATGGCTTCTTCATGTAACAGGTTGCATCTCAGGAGCTAGAGAGATGACAAGGAGAGGGGAGATCACATTGTCCAGGAATTCCCAGTCAAAATAGTGCTGTAATGGGGCTAGGGGGGAATCTCACAAAATCATGGTGCTTTGGGGGTTAAAATTAAAAATTTTAGCTTTAAGTCTGTTGGTGATTAATCTACCTATTTCTGTTCCAGTTGTAGGTGATAGGAATAAAATGCAGGTATTTGCATCCTTGTCTCCTTTTTTTCCTTTTCTGAGGGACAGACTCATGTGAAATGTGTTTTTGTGAGAGCCTCCAGCCCTAGCAGGAGAATCAGACTGGGAAGTGACACTCAAGCTACCACTGCTGTGAGTCACTTCACCTCCTTAGAACTCAGATTAATGCTGAAGCCAAAACAGCTCAAATAGCGCATTAGGATACCTGAATTCAGGATACCTGAAGAGGAAAGCCTTCAGCCTTGTATACAAAAGGATGAGAGGTTCACATCATGCCTACCCTTGGCACAAGTTGCAGAGGAGGAGATCAGGCTGGCTGATCCCGTCTGGCATGAGGATTTGTGAGTCAGCATGGAAGCCAACAGGCATCTTTGCAGGGCTTGGAGTGAGCTCCAAGTGGGCAGGTGTCCATTTTCAGTAAGAATCATATCAAAACTTGCAGTGACTGGCAAAGTGACTGTGTTAGCCAGGAGTGGCTGAAACCTGATATACCTGCTGTGCTCCCAGTACACTTTTTTTTAACCTGGACCAGTCAGAAAACACACCAACCTGCAAAACAGGTTATCAATCTGCATTTTTCATTCGTATTTGAATTTAAAACCAAAATTAAACCCTAACTTAATATATCAGACTGCTAGATTTGGTCAGGTTTTTATGTTCCAGTAAATTAGAACCCCCTGGCTTATTTTCATAATTTTGTTTTGCAAGGATGAACATGGCAGTTCATCCAGCAAGTAAATAGGTGTTGCAAAATGATGGAAGTCATGGGACTGGAAGCGATCCTCTGGTTTGTCAAAATACTTGCCATAATTTGTTATTTCAGCTGGATAAACCAAACAAAGTGCAGGGCTTCTTAGGCAGTTCACAATTATCAACAGCAAAACTTTGTAATTTTTTCTGGTTTTCGTCTTCTTTTCTTTTTCTTTTTTTTCTTCTTTTAAATTTGGAATGAAGATTTGCTACTCTATGTGTATGTGTCATTTCTGTACTGTGCTGAATTAGGGCCCTTTCAGGTGGACTTGCTGTTTGGCAGTAAATAAGACATATCCTAAAAATAGAAAACGTGTTTACAAGTGACAACAATTGGCAGGGAGGACTTGTTCAGATGCAGTTTTGGAACTGCTTTTAATTTTTTTTCCACTCCATTCCAAGTTAAACATCTATTTAAATTAATTAGAGCAATCATAGTATTCCTGGAATATCAGAGCAGAAATTGAAGCCATGTGTATAATTTAAATGTTTCCTGAATTCTGAAGAGAGGCTAAAAAAAGTTAGCTTAAGGAAATTTTTGCATATGATGAAAAACAAGTTCCTGACCAAACTGGCTAAGCTGAAATGTCAGAAGACGAAGAGCTATCATGAAAGTGCTGGAGAGCTTTATAATGAAATCAGTGTCCCAGGGTATAATGCAGATCTACATTTAATACTGAGCTACTGAAGCATACTTCTCAACCTAGCTCTGCTCACTGGGCTCTCATCAGAGTCCTGTAATGACACTGGGCTCTGTTTAGATGGCAAGTCACTAGATTTTGTGGCATAGCAATCATTCCTTATGTACGCTATCACGTGTTAATCATACTACTTTTATAAGCCTAATTAAAAGGCACACATAAATCTGAAATCGTGGCAAAGCCCTGAACCAGCAAAGCAAAATCCTTTATTAATGATAAATACACAACGCATTTAATTCGATGCCTGCTGTTGCTTGTTGGGTTGTTTTTATTACCATATTGACTGGAGTCAATATGTTTGTTATAGTCTGTGCATGTTACTCTAAGCAGAATTTTTCTTTCAGTGTTTTGTTTAAGGTATTGACTTTGCCAAAGGGAAGGAAAAAGTGCATGCAGCCACTTAAGCACACAAGTAGTGATATCAATTTCTGTCCATTACATATGCATACACACATAAATATCCACGTGTACAACGGTTGCAGGCTGTTGCGGGTGTGGGATTAGGTGAGCTTTGAAAAACATATCAACGTGGAGGTCCTGTTTTTGGGAACAGCTCTGGGCAGGAGCATTCCCCCAGCATGTGTCAAGTCCTGCTAAGGATGGTGGAGTCTGTGTAAGTGTTGAAATGCCACTTTTCAAAGGCATTTGCATATTTCTAGGCCATTTCTTTCAATTCCTTAGTGTGAAAGCTTTATTTTCTCCAGGAGCATACTTTTCTTGTTTGGGGTGCTTTTGTGTGTGTTTGTTGTTGTGGTGTTGTTTTTTTGTTTTGTTTTGTGTTTTTTTGGTTTTTTTTGTAATAACATCTTAGTTCTGTTAAACTGTTGGGCTTTCAAAAAGTATTTCTAGTTATTGGGTTTTGGGGTCTTTTTTCTCTTTATAACCCAGGCAATCAATTCCTGAATATGAGCAGGAGGGTTATTGAGCAGTTTCTCTAAGGGCAACAAAGGTCTCAACCTACCCAAAGATGCAGCAATGATTTTGATAAAAAGATTTGGGTAGCAGTTTTGATCAAAAACTGGTGTATAGTTCCAGCACTTCCAAATGAAACTTCAAGATTAATCTTTGCAAATACTCAGTGATCAATTCCACTTTAAAGTACAAAAATATGTGTTAATACATCTGTACTTAGTCTTTACTCTTCCCAACTTGCCCCCTGTCTACCATTGTTCCTGTTCGATGGTGGTGAGCTCTTCCAGAGGTGTCTTCCATGATGTGTCCCATCAGTGCCACCCTGAAATATGCTGTACAGCACAGAGTTACTTGCAAACAGACAATCTCATCTGAACTATGGCATTTCCCCAGTGTATTTCGCTCATGTACTGCAGAGACCTTTGACCTATTCTCTGCTTTGAGTTGTGCAAAGTCATCCTTTTGTGAATCTTTAATACCTTACGGTGAATTTCTACTCAAGTTTTACTAGTCTGAGTAAAAGGAGTACCTCTCTATTTTCTACCTTTCCAACAATTATTCCTAACAAACTCACTAAAATTGAAACAGAAATGTGCTTGAAATCATAAATTGAAAATGAACTTTTTTTCCAAAAGTGGTTTTGTTTGGTTTTTTTTTCCCTTGGGTAGCAGCATCTCACACTAAAGCATCCACTATATGGGAAATTCAGGACAGTTAAAAATAGACCACGTCTAATGCATTTGTTTCATTTTTGCCTTTCAGTCTATCCGAGAAGTGACAGGCTATGTTTTGGTGGCTTTGAACCAGTTTGAATACCTGCCATTGGAGAACCTGCGCATTGTTCGTGGGACCAAACTCTATGAAGAGCGGTATGCTTTGGCAATATTCCTTAACTACAGAAAGGATGGGAACTTTGGACTCAGGGAACTTGGACTGAAGAACTTGACAGGTAAGTGAAACTTGCAAATGTGATGGATTAGATACAAGAAAAAAAAATGAGCTCGTTGAGTTTTTACCTCCATACCCTCAGTCACTTGCATTCTGCAAGTAATAGAGGCACCACGAGAGGCTGGCAGTTGTATGAGAGTTTCATCAGTACTTCATTCTTTTTTTTTGTTTATGAACGTACTTTTCTCAGTACTGTTCAAAGACTGTGCTTGGAAGTTATGCCAAGAGCCTATTTGAAACAAAAATAATTGCTGAAAGAGTAGGTGAAATTTTTTTCTGAGTTTTCATATCATGAGCTTGTTGGTTTCCTTGTAATCCTTGATTATGGCACATGTGTTGCTTCCGGTGTATAGTATTTTCTGCCAAGTTGTCTTAGTTTTGGCGTCTCATGAATCTCTTCTCTTGCTGCTGCTGCACAGGGCTGTTGGGGAAAAAGTAGAGGGTGAGAGAGAGAGAGACTGTATCTTTCGTGTATTTAATTTTAGAACGCCCTTTTCTAAGCGAAAATAGTTCATTACATATAGTGAGAGAAATGTAAGCAAAGTCCATGGTTTTATGTTCATCTGTAAATTCATGGCTGGATCATGTTATGGGGTAGATCAACACTTCGTTTCTCCCATCTGAGGATCTACAGTCAGTGATTTCAGAGCTTAAAACTTGGCTAAATATCACTGGACTGTAACTTAATAAGGAGTAGGCAGAGGTACACTCCTTTTATGGAATTCACCAGAAGTATTTTATTTATACCTAGTTCCTCATCAACTGTTATAATTTCTACCCTAAGCTTTGGTGATTGTGAAATGGCCTTATTCCTGCTAGCGGCTAAAAGCTTACTGAAAATCACTACCCTGAACTGGATGTGAAGATTTAACCTCAGTACAGAGAGGTGGGAACCTTCTGAACTCTATTCAGGCACCCTTCTCTCTCTGCTTTTTTTTTTTGTCTCTCAATATTCAGGGTGACATACAAGTGCTTAGAGATCTCTGTTTGAGCCTTGCCAGGCTTTCAAAAACAGGAGGGGAAAGGAGGCCTGAAATACTTTACAAAATAAACCTATTTGGGCTGACTCTTTCTGATCAGGTTCTTTCTTCTGGTCAAATTTTTTACAGTTTTTAACAATTTTCTCTTATGAGATCATCATGTCAATATCAGAGTGCTTCCCAAAGGTCTCTAAATCTCTACCATCTACTGCTCTTCTTTCTGACTGTCATAACCTAATTTCCTTCTCTTCTGTTCCTGTTTATCTTCCCACCTTTCTGATTTAGGGAGTTCATTGTAACTGTCTAAGCCTTCACATAATACAGAACCATAGCATTTGGTAATAATAGTTGTATCTCTTTCTTTGTGTATGTTTTCTGGTCTGTGAGTCTCAAAAATGCTTTGTAAAGGACACTAAGGCTGGGTGAAACTGAGACAGAGAGGTGAGAGCAAGGCCAGAAAATGGCTGGAAGTCTTTCCTCTTGGGTCTGAGGCTGTTCTGCCAGGAGGAAAGAGTTGTACTCTTAAGGCTCATTTAGCCATAGCTTTGCTGCTCAGTAAGGTAAAAAAACCTTATTTTGTAGGCTCAGTAAGGTAAAAAAACCTTATTTTGTAGGCTTCTGCTCAGGATTTTCTTCTTGAACCAACTTCCCCGTGCTCATAGGCAGTTCCTGAGATTCCAGAGGTGCTCTCTGGAAGCTGCTGTGATGTGATAGACACAGCACTAAAACTGCCCAGCAAATAGTTTCATTTTCTTTTTAAGTATCGTAAGAAAACCTGCCTTAGCTTAGCCCCTGAATCTCTCTTAACATGAGATCATCACAACCACTTCATCTGATTTAGGTGTTTAGAAAGGTCTCAGATGGGATTATTTGGCTCAAAATGTATTGTTGTCTCTTGGAAGAAGAGTGCTTTAATAACACTAACTTGTCTCTCTGGAGCACTTAAAATAGCTTCTGGGTGCTGAATACGAGCCAGTGTGTGCTTCCAAATACTCAGTGTTTTCTAGATAGCATGTGCCAGGGCCTCATTAGTCTCTTCAGCAGCTGTTTGTTGACCGTTTTGTACTCTGGTTAAGAGGCACCTGGCTATTTTAACCCATAACCTGCCTCTTGTTGCACATGCTCTTCCTGGAGCATATTCATACTTCATTTATTTTCATAACACATCTTTAGCATTAGTAGCTGCATAAAAATAACTGGTGGATGTGGGAGTTGGTGGTTTTGCAAGGCTGTGATAGATCAGCTGTGTCTGAACCTATTCTGTGTCTTCCCCATGCTCTCTATATTTACGTCAGAAACCACCAGTGAGTTATTAAATTGAAGAAGCAGCAGCCCTCGTGAGCTTGCGTCCTTCAAGTCCGCTGGAGATTTCAAGAGACTGTCTTTGAATGCTCCATCTCTTCCACCTGAGTAAAATATAAACATGACTCTTGTCTTGTATGTGAAGAATTGTCATTCCAGTGCTTATGCCTTGTTCACAGAAGTTTGGGGAGTTCTGTTCTTATTTGTGCAGTGCAGGATGATGGGTTCCTGAGGGTATTTCTGCCCACTGCTGCACAATATGAAAACACCAGCACTACTCCTTGTGTTGAATAAATGAGGAAGCTGCTTTCACCTGCAGATTCTCCTCAGCCTTCACCACAGACAGTGTCTCAGCTTCCTGTGCTGTACCATTGCAGTATTTTCAGTGTGTTGTTAACAGCTGTGTTTTTATTGCCAGATATGTCTATCAAGTTTTCATCTTTAAATGTTACTTTAAATGCTTGAATTTCCTCCCTTGTGCTATAAAAAAATGACAGCTGTGAAGGCAGTAAGTTTTATCTCACACAGAAAACATGATCCAATTTTCACTCATGATGTCTGTCAAAACACAGGAGAGTTTTGTTTGTATAGCTCAGGCCAGGACCACATCCTAAAATTTATGTGACATCTGCAAGAAATCTTAGCTATAAAATCCTTTTCTCACTTGTTATAAAAACTTAGTCAGTGGTTCCACAAACATGTCAAAACCAAACTGACATTGAACTAATGAAGTGGCTGCTGCCATCTCAGCTGGACTCATCTCAGTTTGCAGATTCAGCTGCCAAGTAGCCTTACAGTAAAAAAGGAAGGTTTGACATACTGAACATATTCTTCAGCCTGAGATGAGCAGAATAACTGATGCTGAGGAAGAAGGTTATGCTACCTTCTTCCAGTCATGGCCTGGGAGCTAGTGCAAATCATACCTGTCTTCCCCAGCTAGCCAGGCAGTCAACCTTAACTTATCCAGTGAAAGGGCATAACAATTTTTCACTCTTGGAGCGCTCCAAATACAGAGAATACCTGATGGCTGCATTTCATTATGGCATTTATCTTTCAGGAGTGGGGAAAGAGGGATAACTCGCAAGTTCTAAAACCACTTATGAAGTATCCCATATTTTCCTCTGTGTGAAGATGTGTAAGAGATTTACAGCAAATTATGTATCTTTGAGCAGTGTTAACCTTATCTTCCTCATTGGTCTTGGGGATAGAGGCTCCCCTGTGCCTGCCTGTACAACCCTTGGGTTCCTTGAATATATTAGATTGAAATGGACTTAGCGGAGATTAGTTCAGTAATGCAAAAAAAAAAAAGGCAGAAAAATCTTTAGGTTTTTTGTTTGTTTATTTCTTTTCCAGGAATCCAGTTGAATGATAAATTAAGATAACTGTTGTTCAAATGACAAATGGATATTGTATCTTAAAGTATTTGGTCAGTGACAGCCAAAGAAAGAAAATCTACTTTTATGGGCAGGAGAACCATAGACAAAGAACCATCTTCACTGGGTGTAGAAAGTGATCCATTGTAAATTTCCCCATCAACAGATTTCTGTAACTGGTTGTTTGGGTTTTTTTTAATTTGATTAAATTTATTTTTAAATTTTTCTGCAAAGCAAACTTTTAAAGTTCTATGATTATTCCTATAAAGTTTTCAATATTATTTTCTCCTCCTCAAGAAATCAAAAATGCTTGGGTGCTTTGGAGGGGGAAAGAATGGCATCACTCATGAAAAAGGTTGCTTTTCAACCCTTCTGTTGCCAATTTTTTGGCTTTTTTTCTTAACAAGCGCTGCTCATTTATTATAATAATATTGCAGCCCAATCAGGTTGAAGGGAAGGGCTTGGGAGGAGTCAAATTTTCTTTCTGTTTTATTCACTGGGCATTATTTTGGACATAAAATTCTTTTGGAAATCTTACTTAGATACCCACTGAAGACCCGAGCTCATTTAGCACTGCGTGTACGTCATTTTTTGCAGCAGGGGTTAAGGCCACCCCAGTTTTCATTGCCTTGATCACAAAGTGCTCAGCCTGTGTCAGCAAGACCTTTCCTTGGACCATGTTGCAGGAGCCACAGCTGAGTTCATGATGTTCAGAGATGTGAATGCCTGTGTGTGACACCCTAGCCCAAGAAGACAGGATGGGGGTGTGCTGACTGTGGCAAATTTTTTAATTTCCGTGGCTTCGTACTAGCAGGATGAGCTGGGAAGAAAGCAATATGTAACTTGCCTCAGGCTTGCTATGCAACAGGTGGGCAAGGCATTGCCTCTTAACCTTGGAGAGGAGTTGCTAGGATACATGGAGGGATGAGGAATTGGTTTAAAAATCCCTGTGGTACTCTCTGTGTGCAGGGCTGCTGCAGGAGTTCTCTGCCCTGTAGGAGAAGCTGCAGTGGCTCCAAAACTGCCCAGGTGTGCTCCTTTCCTTGAATCCTCAGAGCTGGGCTGACCACGGAGGCATTTGTATCCCTGCACATCTTTGTGACTAGCCAGCGGGTAGGAGAAAAGGGAGGAACACCTCCTTTCCCACGTCCCTGAGAAAGGAGGGCTCTTTGTGGTGGCAGAGACTTTGGGGACACAGTACAGAACCAGCCATGCATTCACCTTGTTCATCTTGTCCCGGTGGAGAAAAGGAATGAGACTTGTGGCTGCCCCAAGCTCATAAATGCAAGTGTGCCTGCTAGCATGTCTGTCTCCTCTCTCCCAGGACACGGTTAGACTCTTTCCTA